CGATAACGTTGATCAGCAGGAGAGAGAAAAACCACAACTTAGAGTTGTGCAGATCGACGAAGCCGAAGCCGTAAAGCACGATCTTCAACACAAGCAGGGATAACTGCCTGGTTGAGGGTGCTGGAGCTCCCTTCCTACGTCTTGGCGGCGAGCGAGGGGGGGAAACGAGAAGGAAAAGGCCTTCTCAGAAGGCGGCGGGACTTATCAGAAATCCTCGCGCTTTCTGAAAACTTTTCGGTGTCTTCGGGGAGGGCTTAGAAAACTTCTCAGAAGGCAGGGTGACTTCCGGGCCTTCTGAGAAGGCCTTCTCCTTCTCAGTTCTCCCCTCGCGCGCCGCCGATTCCTACATCACGTCCTGACTCGCTCACCTCTTGGACTTGCCTCTGCGACGCCAGCCAAGCGAGAAATCCGCACCGTGCTTCTGTGTTGGACACTCTGGCCCTCGAGATAGAATCGTCTGCTCCTCCACCACCTCCTCCGCCCGAAAGAGTGCACACATTCGTACGGTCGGACCTCGGACATAAGAATGCCCGTCAAGGAACATGAGACCCTCCACAGGCCAAACACACAGAACATTCGAGTGTACCCCCCCAGGATGCACAAGAACATTCAACAAACACGGAGAACAATAGGGTACCCTCCCTGAACCGACCTCGATCTCAACCTCGGTCCGACCGTAAGCTTCACTTCTGTGGTAATATATCGAACAGAAACGGAACGCGGCGTGCAGGGCAAACGGATCCTGGCCGCGGTGCCCCCACCTTCAGCCCCGGACGCAAGCCCACGGGCGACATACGTACTGGAGGCCCCGGAGATCTGTGGATCCCGAAATGCTGACGCCTCACTTGCGCGTCTGCCGCCTTCCGCTGGCCTCCCGCCGCCAGACCCAGTGAGTGCTCTTTCGCCCCTGCTTCGGCCGTGGAAGCCTCCCGAATGGGGTCCTATAGTACACGGGATCGGAGGATCGCGCGCATCGCCGATGCGGCTCGATGTGGAGCTCGATTCTCTCCACGCCAACGGCGGCGATGCATCGCCGACGCAGGTCGCTCTCCACACTGGCCGATTCCGGGCCACGGCGCTCGACCTCGAACGAGCGCCGGCGCTCGGGTCGCAGCCGCTTCGGCACGACGTGGGTCTACCACATCCAGGGGCTGCGATCGCCGTGTCTTCGACGAGCCTCCGGGTAATGCCCGCCCCTGGGCTATCCCCCCCCCCCTTTCCGTTGCATTACAATACTCTGCAACAGAAGTCGAGGAACTACTGAGGAACTTCTTTGTATGACCCCTCTCCAACCCCCAGTTGACCAAATGTTCCTGGAGACGCGGGACTGGAAACAATTTGAACGCAACATCTCGAACGCAACACCTCCCGAAGTTCAGACCGGGGGGTGGAGCGGGGAATGGTTTCTTTTATTGTTCGGGCGCTGTTGGTTTCGCCGTGGACCCGCTGTGCGTGCTCGCTGTGCAGCTCTGGCACTCGCGGGAAGGACTTCATGTTCTGACCACGGCTCCTTCTTCTCCACCTCTCCTCTCTGCCCACCGTCTTTAGTGCCCAATTCGCCTCCGGAGTGCCCCTCCCGTCTCCCGTCGCTATACCGGCGCCTGACTCTCTTGCGCCCGATGACCAACAAATTCTCACACGAATCCTGCCCCAGAAGGATCTCCACTTATGGTACCAATGGGCAGCTTCGCATGGCGTCCCCCCGTCCATTTCGGAACATGCCTCTCGTGCCCGTGGGAGGACCGCCCGCGGCTTCAGTGGGCGTTTTCGCGCGGGTTCATCCGAACTATTCGGCACACCCTTCACGCGGATCGTGCCCCACAAGGAATTCACCGCGCCCGCGCACGCGTGCTTCGCAGCAGCCATTTGTTCACATTGCCCCGCGGCGCGCAGTGTATGAAGAGCGACCCGCGCTCTGCGCTACGCACGACTGCGTAGGGATGGGCCCGTCGCCGCGCACATTGACTGCGTTTGGGACGATCAATCTTGCCTTCCTGGGGCTCTCTCGGGGCGCATGTCGGAGCCTTCTTAAGACGTCTTCGGAGGAGGAGGAGGACGCGGAGGGAGGAGGAGGAGGGAGGAGGAGGGAGGAGGAGGAGGAGGAGGACGGAGTGAGGAGGAGGAGGAGGAGGGAGGAGGAGGGAGGAGGAGGAGGAGGAGGAGGAGGAAGAGGAGGAGGATGAGGAGGAGGAGGACGAGGAGGAGGAATCGGGCGTCTTCGGCCCTGTCAGACCACTCTGGCAGCGGGTGTTTGGGCCGCGTCCAATGCCGCGGGCCAAAGGGACGAAACACGGTGAATGATGGCAAGTGGCGCCTGAAGGTCTTGAAGGTCCGAGTGGTGGAGGTACAGGGCAATTTTTAATACATGGGATTATATATATATAGATAGAAATGATTTTAATACATGATCAATGTATGAATACATTTCTGCATGAACTCCTCGTTGTTTTGAATGCTAAATCCCTGTATCTTTAATACATGATCCGCACGCGGAGCATGTATGAAAAACGGCACTGTACGTTGGCACCCCTCCCTACGGCCGTATTCGTTGGCCGAGGGACCGTAGGGAGAGCCTGGGCCCCCTGCAACGCCAATGACGGCTTCATGGATTGGTGTACTGATGGGAGTGGGACCCCGGCAGCCTCTATGATGGTAACTGTCGAGGGGTGGCGCCTATGATGGTCACCACCCGAGGGGCAGAGGCCTATGATGGTCCTCGCCAGGAGGGGAGGGAAGGGAGGCCGATGTCCGGGATCATCTGGCCGTCCGAAAGGCGTCCTGCTCCTGAGGCGTGAGTTCCTGAAAAGAGGGGGCAAAACAAAAACGGCATACACAGTTTCGACCCCGAACTGGGTAGGGCCTGCGCAATCGGTATCCCACGGGGGGGATAACGAGAGCGCGCGCTCACGCTCTAGTGCCAGCTTGTTGTGCCCATTGGGGCGGACGAAACGTGCCCGCCCAGGGGCAAACCAGGGGCCCCAGGGACAGCCGCCTCCTGCCGAGAGCATGCCCGAGGAGGGGGAGGCAACCCCCGAATCAAGACCCAGAACCCCGCGACCGAGCGCCCTGAGGACAGCGATCCAGGGGCCAACAAATTCCAAGTCAAGCAGGCTGCAGCGGAGGGCGGGATAGGTTCGCCCGCGCCTGGGCGCAACAACGTGGAACCAACCCAAAGAACTCCCGCAGCGAGAGGTCTGCTTAGGCCACAGTCGTCGGACAACACTGCTCGCACATTGTCGCGAGGCGGCCTCGAGGCACGGATAGGCCGGTACATCCGAAGTAATGGACACCAGACAGAGGGTTCCGTGACATATTTTCCGCCGACAGTAACCCCTGGGGCCGGCGAAACCGAGGATAGGCCAGTATAGCCAAACCCAAAAAACATCCAAAGACTCACACCCGAAAGAACGGACAGAGACGCATTTTTGTCCGATGGGAGGTTCCTCGTCTGAAGGGGTATTTGGGCTATTGCCGAAGTCTGTGGTTCACACTAGCTGGCCGCTCAACTCCCTCAAGCAATGCAAGGGGAGTCCTGAGAGCGTCAGTGCAGCGACGCGGGATTGACACCGTTTGGCCCCCCGGCGGATCGCACGGAGACCGCGTCAGCCAGGGCAGCAGGAGAGCAGCACCAAGCGCCGTGCCGCCCCGGGCGCCCGGCAAGTCCAGGGCGACGCTGGGGGCGAGCACAGCCAGAACTGCAAGCAAGGCAGGCGACGCGCGGTCGACTTCGAAGGGGCCCTGGCGGATCGCGAAAGGACCGCGTCGTGCATGGCGGCGAGGGGCCCCGGCCGCCCGGCAAGACCAAGACGAGGCGAGGCGAGCCGCGAATTCGCGGCGGGGAGGGCCACAGCGCCGTGCGGAGATTCCGTGCGGCCAGCGCGGTCACTTGCAGCACGTCAAAAATCCACAACAACGGCTCCCAGAGGGAAGGAACGAGGACCAACCCTACATCGTCATACCGCGTCCGCGGAGAACTTCTGACGGTCCTAAGACGCCTGTATGGGGCCCTCGCCCCAGTGGCTTGCCTGTGGTGAGATGCTACCCTTCCCGCAGTTGGGCTTAACGGCCTTTGGCAGCAGCGCGCAGACCTCGATAATCGTTTATAACACACACCCCTCCAACGCAGCTGCGCCTAGCAGGCGTAAAGCTTGCGAGACGAAATTCCTGGGCGGATCACTCGCTCGTGCCTCAAAGCTGAAAGGGTGGGCCCGCTGAAGCCTGAGACCTCCCTGTACTTCAGAAGTCTGAGTCTCCGCGGACTCTGCTGTGGGGGCTCGGCCGAAAGGCGCTCAGCCACCACTACCGTGGCCTCGTCCACTCTTTCGTCCCCACCCAACTCCCCCGACATCAATCTCCTTCTCCGCCCGCCCCTCCTCTCCTCGCCTTCACTCTGGCCGGGATGCTTCCTCGGATGAAGGCCAGGCTGGCTATCGGCAGCATATCGCTGCTAAGATCCTCATGCCCAGACACCGCTCGGGTGCAGCAGGGCCAGCACATTTTGCACTGTTGGCTTGACGCCAACAGACTTGCTCATGTACGTGCCCAGTTTTGATCCTCCTCCTCCTCGTCCTCCTCCTCCTCCTGCCTTCCTTCTACGTGTGACACGTGGGGACCTCCAGGGGCCCCTTAAAGGCCTCGCAGAGGAGAACGGCAAATGCAAGCATCACCCTCGACACCGAGTCCACTCGGAGCGGGGCCGCGGGCCCGACACCGGTTTCGCTGTGAACGGGTTCCTGGGCACCAGTACGCTAAACTGGAGTCCGCTCTTGCGAATCGACGCTCGTCGACGCTAAATCTACGCCAGCCGATGCTAGATCGACGCCTATCGATGCTAAGCTGACGCAAATCGACACTACCCGACGCTAAATCGGGCGCTATCTCATCGACTCCCATACGCTAATCGATGCGAGTCGACGCTGAAGCAGGAATTGCGAGGGCATACCAGGCTCTCATGATTTGCTACGGAAGAGAGGCCTTGGAGTTAGGTCGAGCTTGTCCTCCTACAGGCGGGTTTTGGACGAAAAATAAAAGACAATCAAAAAATGCACGACACATCTTCAAACCTACAAGCAAAAATCGTCTCCATACGGTTTGTTGTCAATTTTTGAATATTCCTCCTGTAGAAGGACAGGCCCGACTTAAACGCTAAAGCAGGAATTACGAGGGTTGACCAGGCTCCCATGATTAGCTGCCGAAGAGAGGCCTTGGAGGCGGACTCCCACGGCCGTCGGCAGGAACGGCCCAAAGCGAAGAGGGGGTCGAGAGGTCTGGGGCCCCGCGCGCGATGGCCTGTTCCACCCGTGGGCCCCACCTTCCATGGGGCCTGCTCTGCATCCTGGACGACATGGGAGGTAGATGTATCTATGTATGTGGGCAGCATTTGTGGGGCCCTCGACTGGACAAGACATCTGAGGCCTTGCCCTGACACGCACACACACATATGTATTTGTACTTGAACATGTATGTGTATGTGCATTTGTCTATACATATATATATGTATGTATATATACATATAAATAGGTACGCATACATACATATTTGTTTATATATATGTGCATATGTTTGTATATGTATATATTCATCGGAATGCATGTGTAGTTGTTTATAGACGTATCGATAAACATTTTGATATGTATGTTTATATATACGCATACATGTATACACGTATGTCTGTATATATATATATATATATGTGTATGTGTGTATGCACGTATGTATATATGCACGCACACATATATATATATATATGCATACATGCATGTACGTATGCATAGATGTATGAATGGACGTACGTATGCATATCTATTATTGTACGTATGCGTGTACGAATGTATGTATGTATATGCATGTATGTCTGCATGCACGCATGCATGTATGTATGTATGTATGTATGTATGTATGCATGTGTGTCTGCATGCACGCATGCATGTATGTATGTATGCATGCATGTATGCATACGTACTTGTATGTGTGTATATCTGCATTTAAGTGGGTGTATATGTATGCATATACTTTTAGGTACACGTATCTATGCATGCATGCATGCATGCATGCATGTATGCATGTATGTATGCATGTATGCATGTGTGTATGTCTGTGTGTATGTGTGTGCATGTATGTTTGTACACGTCTGTCTGTCTGTATGTCTGTATACACAGAGTCGTGAGGCACTGCTCCCTGGCCCCTCGGGGCCCAGGACCCGCTCCCGAGGCCCCTCGGGGCCCCGGACCTGCGGCCCTCTGGCCCCATCCAGGGGTCTGCTGCCCTCGACCCCCTGTCGCTCCCTCGCTCTCTTCCTCCTCCTGCCTCCCCGGGAGCCCCCTCCGCAGACGGGCTGCTGCTGAAGGGGCCCCAGGACACGCAAACAAATACACGCAAATAGCAGGATTCCCCATATTTTTCCACATCTTTTGGATTTTCGTCTTCCCCCCCACTTCCCATATTTTCCCATATTTTCCGGGGAATCGACGATTGATTGTGTCTGTGTGTTTTTTCCCCTCCTGAGCTGCCTCGCTCTCCCTGCTCCTCCCTGCTCGGAGGCGCGCTGCAGCGGGAAGCGACGGTGGATGGACAGTCAGGGCCCACACCCATCGCGGCAAGATGATGCGTTATAGAACTGCGTCGAACAAATAGCCGCAGCCCCCACCCCCCCGAACCCAAGGTTGACGGGATTGGGTGCGAGGCAGGGCGCAGGGCACAAAATGTGGACACTTCAGCTCTGGGTTTGGGGGGAGGGGCGCCCAGCCACATGTGTATTGCAACTGTCGTTGCCATCATGCCTGCTTGCCTTCACGCTGTCGGCGTGGACACCTTTTTTGTCCGGGCACCGGAGCAGGGAGCAGGCCCTCTCAGAGTGCGGCGGGGCTTCTCGGCAGCTCCCCGGCCTCCTGAGAGGCCGCGGCTCTGCCTTCCGGGGGGAGGGCCCCGAGGACGCCTCGGAGGGCGCGGGGGGTCTCTGCGAAGCCCCCCCGCCTTCTGAGAAGGCTTGTCGCGTCTGCGTGCTCTCCTGTGCCCGCCGCTGGTTTTCCCCCTCGCGAGTCGGGAGCGGCCAAGAGGGGGGTGTCCAAGAGGGGGGGGGTGCAAATCATGACCGGCGGCATGCGCGCGGCCCAGCGGGGGGACCAGGGACGTAATGAAATAAGAAGAGGCGCCGTGAGATCTGGGGAAAAATCATGGCCCCCGCCATGATATCCGCCCCCCCCTAGTCATCACCCCCCTCTTTGCCGCCCCCGATCCACGTGCCCCCGTGCCCCTTCTGAGAAGGCTTGTCGCATCTGGGAGGGAGGAGGAGGAGGAGGATCGGAGGAGGATCGGAGGAGGAGGAGGAGGAGGAGGAGGAGGAGGAGGAGGAGGAGGAGGAGGAAGGAGGAGGAGGAGGAAGGAGGAGGAGGAAGAAGGCTTGCGTGCTTTCCTGGGCCCGCCGCCGGTTTGAACCTTCGCGAGCAGTTGCAGGCCGGTGCTGCCAGAGCGTGCCGGGCAGACCGGGCACCGCGCGACGGGCGGGCCTGCCACAGGCAGGCCGGCGCTCGAAGGCCGTGTCGCCCGCAGGAGAAGCTGAGGGTGCCTCGTCCTCTGTTCCCTCCTCCTCCTCCTCCTCCTCCTCCTTCTCTTCACAATCGCTGCTCAATGCTTCTCCTCCTCCTCCTCCTCCTCCTCCTCCTCCTCCTCCTTCTCTTCACAATCGCTGCTCAATGCTTCTCCTCCTCCCTTCCACAGACATTGCTCAATGCTCCTCCTCCTCCTCCTCCTCCTCCTCCTCCTCCTCCTTATCCTCCTCTTGAGCATGCTGCCTCCGCTACCTCGCTCTCTGCTCCCTCCTCGGTCGCGCGTGCCCGTGCCCCCCCCCCCCGCCCCACTTTGCGGTGAACAGGCTGTCGCACGAGTGCAGGCATGGGAACCGGAGGACGGCATCGAACCCCCCCTCCCCTGGGCTCGTCGGATCAGTGCCGAAAGAGCAAGACGCCATGATCGAACGCTCTCGATATCCGTCGAGGAACAACAAAAAGCATAAGCATAAATTTTCAACGGGCCGCGAGGATTTCCCGGATCGGCGCTTGGGGCCCGTTGCGGCGCCTTTGGCGCCGCCCCTGGCGCGCTGCGCGCGCCAATGAGGGGAGCGGGGTCCAGCGCCGACTCAAGACACCAGCGCGGACCTCCGAAAATGCATGTTTATGCCACTACTTGTTCCTCGAATCAAGAGCGTCATCTGCTCCACTTCCACCGATCCCGCACCTCATAGATTTCGTCCTGCTGCAATATTCGGTGGCCTGGTGACTCAAGGGGGGAGGACGAACGGAAAGAGAAAGAGAAACAACAATGAAGGGAGAGGGGGATCGGGGAGGGAGGGGGAGAGGAGGGACGAGGGGGAGGAGGGAAGAGGGAAAGGGGGATCGGGGGGGAGGGAGAAGGGGGCGAGGGGGAAGGAGTCCTTTGCCTTCCTCCTCCTCCTCCTCCATTTCATTTCCTCCTCCTCTTCCTCCATCTCCTCCATCTCCTCCTTCTCCTCCTCCTCCTCCTCCTCCTCCTCCTCCATCTCATTTCCTTGTAAGCACCTCCTCCCTGTCGCACCCCCAAATGTGTCGGTAGGGCGGGCAGGGTGTTTAGCGGGAGATCTACTCCGACTTAGTGGCCCTGCAACCTGAAACTTGCGAGCAGTTTCAAATATGGAAGGCGGGTGGTCTTCAGAATATAATGCTCTCGCCTGAGCATGGCGCGCAGTTGCTTCAACGATTGCCAGAGTTTCAAGGACTCAGGGTGCTCATTTTCAAAATGTGGCTTTCTCCGCAACGCCGCGCATGCTCATTTTCAAACTGTGGTTTCTCCTCAGCGCCGCGCATTTTGGTTCTAACATGATGCAGCCGTTGCAAGGATTGGGGGCGGGCCTCCGTCCAAATGCGGTCCTCGCATGCGCGCCGCGCACACTCGCATGGAGATGCTGCAACAACTTCAGGGATGGAGGGCGGGCCGATGTCAAATGCTGTTCTCGCAAGTTCTCGCCTGCGCGCCGCGCACATTCGTCTTAAAAGCTGGCAGCCGTTTCAAGGATGGATCGCGGGCCGTTTTGAGACTGTGGTTCTCGCCTGAACACCGCGCGCGTTCGTTTTAAACGTTTCCAACAGTCTCAAGGGTTTGCATGGTTGGCAATCCAAATGAACGTGTTCTAAGACGATTACGAATCGTCAAGACACAAAGTCACGTTGACTCGCGGTGTTCACGTCCCACGAACGATTTTCTGGCACGGTTTATGCGTCGCAGGACGCGACAGTTGCGTTAACTCGCGGCGTCGAAGTCCAAGGACTGATTTGCAGGCGCGATTACATCTGCTCAGACGGCTTACTTTCATCAGCATGGACAGAAATCTGTCTAGCGACCTATGACAAAAACATGGAATTTGTAGTTCGGGTTTATTGCAACATCGCTGGTGCGTCTCGGGTTTGCACTAATCCTCCTTCTCTTCTTCCTCGTCGTCCTCGCCCTTCCCACCCACCCATCATGATTTTCCCACTCCTCCAGGTCAACCTCCCGATCTTTTTCCCGTTAGTATTATTCTTCATCCTCCTCCCCCTACATCTCCTCCTCCTCATCCTCGTATTCGTCACCCGCCTCGTGCTCCTCCTCGTTATCGCAAGCATAACCATAACCATCGCCATCGTAACAACACCGTAATCTTTCCCATCGCCGTCACCGGAAATACCACAATCATCACCACAACGACACAACCACCATCATTACAACCACAATCATCAACGCCATCGCCAAGTCCGCCATCGTCACAAACATCATCCTTCTAATTACCCTCGCCATCACTTCGCATCATTGTCAACACATCTCGCTCACCACCAGGGCAATGGTAACAATAACCAACTCAAGGCTGCTCGCTCTCATGTGCTCGCGTGTCAATCAACATGTATATCCCGAGCCTTCGATGCCCCCCCTCTTCGTCTTCGATCGTCCCCCCTTACGTGTAGTTGGCGCAGCCCTTAAAACGGGAAGAGGAGGGAAGCATACACAAATCCATATCGAGGGGGCACGGGATGCGGAAGGCAAGGAGGGAAAGGACAAGCAAGGTGCGGTCGCGTCAAATCTGACGTACTACCCCTCCCTCCCATCCCTTACCATAGCGTAGTTAATCTCTTTATTCGCACAATCGGATGTCGAGCAGGGCGATGATCGCGAGAGGGTACGCGATGCATGACATGGCGTAGGACAGCGCGGCAGAGCGTTGCATGCCATAGCATGGCGTTGCATTGCGTAGTGAAGTATTGCATCACACAGCGTTGCAACGCAAAGCGTAGCATCGCACAGCGGCGCAGAACACAACACCGCACAACATGTCATGGCATGGCGCCGGGTTTCTTGGAGGGTCAGTGGATCGTCGTTGAGAGGTCTGGGCCGGTCTGGAGTCGTGGCTTTATGTCTAGCTCCTTGGGCTCCACGAAAAGCTCCACGCAAGGCGGGGCTGATGGAGAACACCCGTTGGCTCTGCTTTCAACATCGCCTTCTCGAAGCAGAAACGGGGCTCCCGCTTGATACTTCCTGAAAACGACGACGCCCCAAAGTGGGGCTGCGGCCCAACAGATCAACGAATCGACACCGAATGTGTTATCACTTCCAATGGTTTTTTCGGGGAAGCATATTTTAGATATTGGGGCCTATTTGGAAGGAGTGAAAACGCCCGCGCTGCAGCGGGAGCGCGATTTGGAACAACCAGAGGCACAGAAGTGAGGCCAACGCCTCAGCGGAAACACAATTCTGAAAAAACCCAAGCGAAAACTCATTTCCCGGAAATCCTGTGTGTACGCAACAGTACGCGGAGGGGGGCCGGATATCTTCGGGACGTCATCAGGGGAGAGAGCATAATAGTATTCGTATTGTGTGAGTGTCAAGGGGGAGTGAGACGGATGGAGCACGAGAGAGATTAGCAGGAGAGGGGAGAAACATTTTTCCTTTATCCAGCGCAGCACGTGCGGAACCGAGGCACACCGTCAGAAAACCGGATGGGGGTGGAACGAGGAGGAGGAGGAGGAGGAGAAGGAGGAGGAGGAGAAGGAGGAGAAGAACCTTTAATTCTCGCCGTCTGTCCACGCCTCAATTGCCACGGGTTCATGGCCGTATGGTCCGCCAGGCTGCCTCACGCAATTCTGAATCAGAGCCGCCGCCAAAGCCCTCGTTGCCTCTGAGGCTCTCTGGCTTCAGATCGCCTCGGGTATCATCCGGAGAGCATGCAAAACAGCCCCAGACGGCCGCAGGCGCCCCGCACGTGAGCTAAACAAGCCGCCCAAACAGCTCAAAATGGTTCCAACACGGCCGCCTTACCTGCCCGGAATTCCCCAAGACGATTCCATCGTTGCTGTTTGTATCTTCTCACACTGTACTGTAATTTTCACGCAACCCGTCTAGATCACTTCAGGCATACGATTTTTCGTCAGACTTCGGACCAGAGGATTTGTTAACTGCCCGGCGGACGTTGCTGTGAGCTGACCACCGCACCACACCGGAGGATATATAAACCACGCATGGCCGCGAGGATTGCTTGAGTGAGTTTGCAGGGAAAAAAAAAGGGCCTCTTCGGGGTAAGCCTGTGGAACTATCGCCCCAGGACGACCCCGAGACCCTCGACGGGCCGTCCAGGAGGGCCCCGAGGCGGCCCCAAAAGGCCCTCGAGCTGCCCAAGGGAAGACAGGGAATACACGGGGAGAGAGAGAGAGAGAGAGAGAGAGAGAGAGAGGGAGACCTCCTCCTCCTCCTCCTCCTGCTCCTCCTCCTCCTCCTTCTCCTCCTCCTCGGAGGAGAAGGAGAAGGAGGAGGAGAAGGAGGAGGAGGATGAGGAGGAGCCTCTCCCCCACCCGCTCCAATGGGCGGGCGGAGGGGAGGTTCATGCGTTTCTCATGGCTCTTAGGCGTCTGGGGGCGTGCGAAACGGAGTTCATGACGGACTGCAAGATGGTCCTGGATATATGGGCCTTGGGGCCAGACCAGGACCTCACCAATGTGGCATTCAGCGAGATCTGGTGCGACATTTTTGCCATGGCTCAGGATGTGGGGCTGCATAACATCCGTGTGAGTAAGATTAAGAGTCACCTGTCTCGGGGCCAGGCTCTGGATCGTGGGGTCCCGAATTGGGCCTGGGCTGGGAACCGAGAGGCGGACCGTCTTGCTCGGATAGGTGCCGAGTTGCAGCCCCACAACCCCGAAGTGCGGAGGCTTCTGCATGTCCAGGAAGCGCTCGTGGCCCAGGGGGTGTGCCTCATCCACGAGACGATGAGGCACCTATCCAAGCTCGGCCTCCCAGATGTGGAGAAGGTCCGATCGAGGATCAAGTGCAGGGCGAATCACCTCGAGTTGGTGCCAGATGCTCTTGGACACCAGCTGAGCCGAGTGGATAAAAGGGGCAAGTATCGGTGTGCACGGTGCGGAGAGGCAGGCAGTAGGATAGGAATCTGCAAGGTGCCGTGCCGTGGCGTGCCGAAGGTCGCTCGGTCGGCCCACCCCTCCCACCGTCTGTATCTGGGGGGTGGCCGTATCGTGTGGTGCGCGCGGTGCGGTGTTTTCGGGTCCCAGCGTTCGCAGTTTTTGCGTGCGGTGTGCTGTGGCCGCCCCCGTAATAAAGACGCCTCTCAGAGCTTGAGGAAGCTCCGCCGAGGCGTCGATCCGTCTTCGGGCCGAGAATTCGGTCGGTCCGAGCCGCTCTCCAGTGTGTGCTGAGAGCGAGGGGAGAGCGAGGGGCCGCCTGTCGTCGTCGTCGTCGTGTCCTGCCTATCTTCCTCCACGGCAGCGACAAGTACGGCTATCAGGCGCGCGCACCCGCTCTCTCTTCCATTTTGTCATATGCTCACATGTTTCACGCTTGCGCGAGGGATGTGATCATGTTCGCAGAAGGTCGCAGAAAGAGGCTGAGGAGGAGCCCCCAAGAAGCTTGCAAAAGGTGCGCCTTCGACATGGATCGGAGGGGACGAAAGGGTAGGGTATCAAAGGGCAGGGCAGAGAATCAGGCAACGTAGCTGGATTTTTGGGCGCCTCCTGCCGCCGGGAGGCGTCGATGTATCGACGCCGGGAGGCGTCGATGTGTCGAGGAATGGGCCCCGCGGCGGGGCCGAAACCAGCTGCATGCAGCACATTTCGTACCCCCCCTTCCCTCTATCATATCTTTCGTCCGACCCGAGGGATTGGCCGTAGGCAGCCAGACAGAAAGTTACTTGCTGATCGCCAGCGTGGACTCCAACATAACACCACTGCCTGTTACCCCCGACCTGCTCTTGGAAATCGTGAGGAAAGAGGATCCGATCTCTCCACCCACCGGTCTCAATCGAGCACGGTGCATATCACTGTTTGTCGAAAACAAGCGGCTCTCACATCTGCCTACACGCGCAGCAGCCGATCATACGATTGGGAGCTCTCGATGTAGCTCCCTCAGGGGATTGTCGTGGTCGTGCCAAGCTGACTGACCCAGGCGCAATCCACTCGTCCGACGTCGGTGCCACAAACATAAGACTCGTGGGCATCTGGCCGTGCGAGAGGCTGGGCGTAGTCGCTGCGGAATGGCCAAGCAGGAGGGGCAGGGCGAGAGGCCGAGGGGGCGGATGAGTAGAGGCACATAAATACAAAGAGGATCCCAGGGGGGAGGGAGACGAAGACGAGCAAGAAAGCGAGGAAGACAATATCCTAGTCCCATCAAGCCGCCTTCTTCCACAACCCCTCTTCCCATTCGGGGACGGGTCTACAGATGCTCTCTTCCAAATCCGGTCCACTGGCTGAGTCTGTGAAGCCATCATCTCAGTGCTTCCGACTCGCCGGCCGAGATTCATGTGGCTGAACTTCTTCAGCCAATTTTTCTCTGGGCAGAGTGTCTCCGTCCGAACTTCTCTGGCCGGATTCATCCGATGCTCACGCAGCCACTGCAGCCAAAGCGCTGGCCGAGTTCGACCAGGCCGACTTTAGCTTCCATCTGTCTGAGTGCAGCTTGGCAGAGTTCAGCCTGCACGGCTTCCCCCAGGGCCGTAGGCGACCCGAGGAGGAGGAGGAGGAGGAGGAGGAGGTGGTGGAGGAGGAGGAGGAGGAGGAGGACGGGTCGCCCACGCCCTTCGGAGAAACCCTCCAGTTCAGCCAGGCCAGATTTTTCTTGGTCCGAGTTCACCGGCCCGAATTCAGCTGGGCCTAGGTCAGAGTGTGGCCGAGTTCGGCAGGCCGAGCTGCTCCTGGCCGAGTTTAGTTGCTGCCTCCTCCTCGCCTCCCCCCCCAACCCATACGCTCGCGATACTGATGAGTATAACCATCCAGAGCGTAGCCACGCCCAACTGGAAAAGTAATAAGTCCGCGATCATGGACAACACCTCCCTCTGGAGGGCCCGCGCAGAAATGCTGCCTCAGAGCCGCCCCTCCTCCACCGCCTCCTCCCTCCTCCTCCACCTCCACCTCCACCTCCACCTCCATCTCCCCCCCCTCCTTCTCCTCCTCCTCCTCCTCCTCCTCCTCTTCCTCTTCCTCCTCCTCCTCCTCCTCCTTCGCACCTCCCCGCTGACACAGCCTGGGACACTGCAGGCAGAGCCCCCGCCCGCCTCCTCGGCCTCCGTATGCCCCCCCTTACTTCCTATCTCCAAGACGCCCCTGGAAAAGGGAGGTGCTCCCACGGACCTGGCGCTCACAGGACCCGTCTAAGCAAAGCTTCGGACGGTACTTTCAAGACTGCTGACGCAAAGGCCTACTCAACTGGTCTGTCTAAGGCCATTGCTTCCAGCATTGTGGACTCGCTCAGAGATCTGGTTGCTGCAACGGCTCCGAAGCCGACTTTACTTTTTTGGAAGGATCCCCGAGGATCTCAGTCGTTGCTTGCTCGATTCTTATGTTCCTGACATCGGGGACCGAACTTTCTCAGAGGCTCCGGACTTCGCGCTTAGAAGGCGCAAAACTTGCGAAGCCGACCCTGAGCGGGAGAGATTCAGAATTCATGATCCGTGTCCTCCCAGCCCCCCCCCCCGTCGAAGGGACAGGAGCCACGGGTTCC